TTGTGAGCCATTCAGTAATTTTTAATGGCGAGGGCGACTGCAAAAACTGAAGTTCAAGGGAACACAGACTGAGAAGCCTCAAAAAAAGAACATCTTTTTTACCATTATAGCAAAAAAGTACTCTGTACGTTAAATATTTTAATACCTAGTCCTGGACAGACAGACCACACTATTGGCCAAGATGCAAATGCCTCTTCCTCTTTTAAAACCTAAAGACTGTTGTTCTCATTCAATACCCACGATGCTCAGTACAAAATAGTTGAATTAATGAAAAAAAAAAAATACATCTTTCAGTCTATCAGAAACCATTTAAGAGAAAAGAACTGAGAAACTGGAGAAACTTTCTGCTCTAAGCTTCCTTTGCAGGCTTCAATTTAACTTGGAGGATTTATCCTTTCAAAACTCTAAACCAGAAACTCTCTTTGTCCACCCCGTCAAACTGATTTGATGTTTTCGGAGGGGATTACAGGTTTAGCGAACAAAAGCAATTTTGATACAGTGCATTTACATTTCTCTTCAGAAACCTGACTTCCTACCACAAAGACGTTTTGAGTAATCAATTCTCACACACCGAAAGGATCAGTCGGCTCACGAGCACACAGAAACAAGGGAACGCCATTCAGCAGGTACATGCCTAGCGAAATCCCAAACACATTTGCTTATACTGATTTTTTTTTTTTAATCAATAATCGAAAAGTTATCATGGATCCAAAGAAAACAAATAGAGCAAAATAATAACCACTTAGACAACAGGTTGCTAGAACAAAAAGTCAGCTGGACTGCTCCGTGAACTGAGTGTGTGCATGATGACCGTACTGCAACACAGTCCAGCACAGGCTCGTGATATAATATATTCCCTATCCCTTATCGCAGGAAGCAAAATAAAACCCTATTTGGGAGGTGATGGCTGATTACGTGCCGAGTGCCAGCTCCATCAGAGGAGGGCGAGAACACCGACAGGGAAAAACCTGGCTGAACACGTGAGCTAAGGTCACCCAACGCACGCTTTGAAATGAACAAAGCAACAAAACTTCAGCATTACCCAGTCCCTTCGCCTTCTTTCATAGAATCACGGCATGGTTTGGGTTGGCAGGGACCTTTAGTGGCCATCTAGTCCAACCCCCCTGCCATGAGCAGGGACATCTTCAACTGCATCAGGTTGCTCAGAGCCCGTCCAACCTGGCCTTGGGCATCTCCAGGGATGAGGCATTGACCACCTCTCCGGGCAACCCTCACGCAGAGCACGGACACCCACAGTTCGCTCTCTGCCTGTACATGCCGGAGGAAAGGATCGCTTCTTCCTACAAGTCTCTCTACATAGCATCAGCTCTAGGTCGATCAGCTCCTCTGGACGCTCTCGTAACGCAAATCCTACTGACTCAACACGGTTTGTACCCGTCCCAGTGTAATCAAACCTCGTTAGCAACCCCCCCCCGCTGCTATTAGCTGATCGCTTGCTCTGAGCAATGTAAGACGAGTCAGGGATGAGGGGTAAGCAGGGTTTGCAGGTTAGTTCAGGAAGGGCACAGAGGACAGACAGAGCCTTTGCGTGCGTCCATGGCAGCAACACGGGTTACGATTTCTGGTAAAGAATTGAGGGAATAGAAGGAAAAAAAAAAATAGAAGGGGGACAACCATACAATGTACAAAGAGAGGTGGAAGGAGTCAGGTTTGCTTAGCCTGGAGGAGAGACATTTGAAGATGGGGTGAAATCTAATTGCTACCTTCCACTACCTACAGAGAGGTTACAGAGGAGGCAGCACCAGACACGACGTTCACAGAAATAGGACATGAAGCAACAGACACAAGCTACAGCAGAGGAAATTCTCATTAGACATAAGGTTTTTTTGGTTTTTGTTGTTTAACTATGAGGGTGGTCAAGTGCTGGACCACCGGCCCAGAGGAACAACAAGATCTCCATCCCTGAGGAACAACAAGATCTCCATCCCTGAGAGAAATTCACAACTTGACTGGGCAAGGTCGTGAGCAAGGGCCTGATCCCACTCTGAAGTTGGCCATGCTTTGAGTGAGGGATCAGAGCAGGGTGCCTTCCACCCCAACTTACCCCACGTTCTGCGCCTAGATTCAAATTTGGGTCTACAAGTGCCATATTCATCTGCAAGTAACGAAAGGAAGGTGAGCTGCTCCTATTTTCTGCGGGTGCGAGAGCTCGCGTGGAGGCCCCGCAGAGCGGCCAGCTCAGCAAGTGACCATGGGGCTGCTGCTGCCACCATGACCATCCATCGGGCACCAGACAGCAACTCTTACCCCCACCGCAGAGCCACGGCCAAAGGTCTGGCACGAGAACGATTGTTTTGGAAGCGGAAAACACCCCCCGCCGACCAGCGTAAAATGAGAATAAAGGTGCAAACGCAGCTCTGGTAAATGTTTAACACAGAGCTGGGGTAAAAACACAACCGACAAAGTTCACAGGTGATGAGTGTAGTTCATCTGCTTCAGGTTTCTTCATTCCGTGCAGATGAACATGCCGGATTTCTGTTTCTTCCACGTTGTTTTACCGCGTTTTTGAAGCGGCACATTTACACAGCCTCATGTTGCCAATGATCCCAAGTATAAACTAAAGATATTTTTAACCCTGCTTAACAGAAAAATAGCTTAATGTACAGGACCAGACTGCTCTGGAGGCACCCAGACTATGAGGAATTCAGTAACCACCTTATGCAGACACTTGCACTGTGTAAATGTTTGCATTATGCAAATATTTATGGCAGTTAAAAACTGATAAAACCAATTTAAGGTTTCTCCACAGTCCAGCGCTGAGGATTTCCCAGCCCATTTTACATTCAGGGTAAACACCATATTGTGAACAAACATCAGCGAGCATCAGAAGGTCAAGAAAACAAGATCAGAGCAGCGAAGGAAGCGAAGGCTCAGGCAACGGCAGTAAAAAAGTCAGGGAGGTAGCAAAGACTGAGCTTTAGAGAAGGAGGAATTTCCAGCATTTATCAACAAACTCCCCAAGTTTACAGCGTCCAGTTGTACAAAGCTCAATCTTGCAAATCCCCTGGCACGGTGCAAAAATAGCAGAGAGTGAAATACGGTTATGGTTAACATTAAATTTTAACACAAGCCAAGCAAAGAGATAAAATATGAACACTGCTCTAGAAAAATTCTAGTGCATTTATTTTTGTATCAGAGAAAGGTATTTTTCAACAGATGCTTTTCTGCACCTCCTCCAAATTAGAAGCATCTGCTATTTCCTGAACTTGGTTTACTGAACAACATGGCTCACTACTAATGAGGATGAAATTCAAATGTCATCTAAAGAAGCAATTAAAAAAATAATTGAATTTTTTTTCCCTACCTCAAAAATGTCATTGTATGAAGCTCACGCTTGCTTGTCCTCAGGCACAGACTTCCCAGTGATTTACAGATGATTTTAAAGTCTGCACCATAATTGTTAATGCTGTGAACTACTTATAACCTCAATTTAAAAAGCCTATTAATTTTTGGAAAACACACAAGAAACTGCAGGCACAAATCACGCTCACTTCACCTTTTCAACAGCGCATTCCAAATTAGCTCGATTAGTGCAAAATGACTATGACTCAAGCTGACATTCCCTCCTCTTCCTGCGTATCAATTCAGCGCACGATACCGGGAGAGCGCTTCCAGGGTGCGCTTCCAGGTTTCTGGAGGTTTTTAGAAGGGAGATGGTTTCTTCTTCAGCTGCGGTGAGAATAACGCAGTAATTCATCTGCGTGTCCTGTTTTGACCTGGGGTTAGGCTCCAGGTTTACAGGCAGCATTCTGTTGCTACAAAACCACCCCACGTTTTCAGTTGAAGACCGAAAAAAACCCCTATGTGATGTTTTTAATTTTTTTTTTTTATCAACTTTTTCTTCCTATGCTGATCTTCTCTCATAGAAATCACAAAGATTTTTTAGAATAAACACAAAGCATTTTTAGAACTTTGTCTCACAAACGGAAGGAAGCACAGCAGAAGGTTAATTCTGGAAATAGCTCATCAGCCACTTGGAACCAGCAGAGTCCAGAGGGAACCATTCGATTTTCCACACACAACTTGGGACTATTTTTCTCATTTCAGCTAAAAGAATAGAAAGCGTAAGGCGGAGCTTGTCACTGCAAGACTACAGTACATAAATGCACAAGTTCTATTTCGGATTCTCCATGAAATGTTGCCTGCTAACCAGCATCCACAAATCAGTCTCTCGCCACAGACAGACGAGCCAAACATCAGTCATCCATTAGGAGAACAGATATTTTTACACACGTTTTTACAAGGTTGTCCGACCCATCGTTGTTGTTTCTGAACATGTTCCAAAGAGTTCAAAAATTTGAAGTTTAAGGCACATAAGCATATACATAGCTCTACAAGACCTATCTGTCTGCAGTGCCAATTACTCGGCCTTCGCCTTCTGTCAGCACTGACACACTCTGAGTTCGACTTCAGTCATGTTCAAACCTGATAAACGGGGCAGGTTTTACTTTACAAGCAGCCTGCCTATTGAATTATCTCAAGCTCAACCAGATGACAATAATTTTTTTGTCTCAAATAATCAGGATTTGGAAATGAAAACATGCTACTTACCTGCTACGGTGTAGTAACATGATCTGTTCATTGTAAAAGCAAAACCAACTCCTTCGTTGTCTATGCTGACAATTGCACAAAATGAAATTTGCTATATGTACTGTATTGGCACCATGATATATTTAGATAACTGGAATGTATTTACACGGATAGAAGCCACATCTGGTTCAGGCTCCAAGGTACAGAAATCTCCTTGCGTACAGTTAGAGCCTTACCAAGGGGAACTTACCTAAAAGCTGCCAGTAAGGGAGCGTAAATGGAATCTCCATCGTACACATACAAGTGGTCCCAACTGCACTCTGTGGCAAAGTGATTGAATCGAAGCCTGAGGATCGTGTTCGGCCTGTAAAAAAATAATTAGAAATAAAAAATTTGTGATTAGCCACTCAACACACACGGCAAAGTCCCTCCAACAAACTCCTCTGGTGTGAAGCTCTCCTCTAACCAAGACTAAAGCTGAGGGACTTGGTGTAAGCGTAGATGCATCAAACATGCTCTGGCTTTCTTTTTAGGTCTGCACGCTCCCCTGATATTAAGCAACAGATTCTTTACGGTCAGAAAAACTGCGTCCTTAAATCTTTCCCCACCACCAACAGCAGAAATTGAAGGGCAAGCACTGCCAGCCCTCTGCTCTTTACCAGTACCGACTCCCCTAATGACAGGGCTTTGCAGGGGCAAGCATGGAAAATCCACATGGACAATACATTCACATGGGGATGTGGCACTTATGGACACAGTTCAGCGGTGGACTTGGCAGTGTTCAGCTTGCAGCTGGACTCAATGATCTTCAGGGTCTTTTCCAACCTAAATGATTCTACGATTCTCTGAAGAATCCCAGCTGCCACCATCAGGGAACTAACCAGAGCTATTTTTCTCGTTCAAGGGATTTTCTGCAGATTGATCTGATTACAATGGCCTGAGATCATTCACTTGCTCAGAAGCTGGCAGAAATCCTTCTTCTGCTCCTTTATTTCTAGTGCAGCACTGCAGGATGGCCCTCCTGAGGAAAGCCCCTCCAAAGTGGAAAGTGGAAATATGCCTTAGTAGATGCTAACTAAAGAAATTCTGGGTCTTGCTCACCACCTTCTGGGAGCTGGAGAAAACAGGTCAAGAGAATGCAGAGGAGACCCATCTTCTGCAGGACAGGAGGCCCTGGGGCTTTACCTTTTGCCAAAAGGAAGGTCTTTGATTATTACTCGGACTGCAAAGAGGCACTAACCACTGCCTCCCATCCTTCACAAATGCTAACCAGGTTGCTTGGTTTTCTTCTGGAGATGTGTTACAAAAAATACTGGGACCAGTTGAGAATGAACGAGTTGGGAGTTCTGGGAAGAGACTTGCTACCTTCCACCTGAACGCAGCGGGTCCAGCACACCCCGGTATTAACACCACTCGTCAAGAAGCATCTACTCTGTCGACTTACTAAGCCAAGAGAAAACCACCAAGTGGCCTGATCTTCCAAGAGGTTTTAGTTACTCAGCAAGAGGATGGACAGGGTAGTTCAGACCACAGAACACATCAGTATTCTTCTCACTCCATACACAGAAGACGCCCACTAAGCCATAACCAAGTAAGGCACCTTTAGGTACCGTTCAGTTACATGGCCAAATGTGCAAGACACATCTAAAGAAAATCACACTAAAGTCACAGCGGATATCTAAATTAGGGCTCAGCTCAAGGAGGGCAAAAACACCACCAATGTCGTGACTGGGCCCTGAGATAAAAACAGAGTGAATCCATAGCAGCACTGCTTTCTCCTACCCACAGCTGTAGCTGTTGAAAGGATAGATGCAAGTGATTAGGATCTCTACAACAGCATTGCCCTTGGGTTCAGACGAAATCCGTGTTCATCCTCATCAAATAAATTAATAAAATGTCAGCCTGCCACAGCGTCCATTCTTCCCACAGAAGTGGAATTCTTTAGGGATTTATTCCACAAAAGAATATTTTTTGATACACACGCTGATCTACTCCAGGCCTTTGCAAAAAGAGCAGCAGGTGTAACTCAAGGATAATGTCTTGCTGAAAGAAAAGGTACAAAGAGTACCCATCATTTCTAAACTGAGCCGCCTATGAAATTGTAGGGGGTTTGCTTCTATCTGAACGGTCTGACAGCTGTAGAGCAAAAAAAGAAATACTTAATCAATAAAAGCTTTAGACCAAGAACAAGAAGAAAGAGATTATCTTTGCTACAGCCAGCAACTCATTAACAGACAGCACTCATTTGCAGAATCGTCAGGCACAAGGCCACAGGTTCTGTCTCGGACGGGATCCTCAGGGTGGCTGGATCTCATCTGCCTTGTCTCAGCTCCCGGGGAAAAATGCAGAGGACGCCCTGGGATGAGGACACGGCGCAGACACCAGCCAAGAAGAGTCAGGAATGGTGCAAAGAGGAAATGAGGACAGTAGAGACCACAAGGCTAATTCTACATCCACATTTATCTAGCATCTTCAATCACACATTTGGACTGTACCTTTACTTTGCTAACATTAGAAGCCCTCCTCCACATACCAGTATGCTAGCAACAAGGTGAGGGCACTCAGCAGAACCTAACAGCTTTGCAGACGCTGTTTTCCAAGTCCAGATCTCTCTGGGAATTTCACATTTGGCAGAGAGCTTGGGTGATTTTCACAAGGGTGTGTATTTCAGCTGTTTTAATCAGCATGATTACCTCCTTTCTGTTTACCACTCTCTGACAGCAGGGTACAATCAGAAGCAGGAAAAGGACACCAACTTCAATGCCTGGCTACGAAAGGAGGAGGAACATTTTTGTACACCTCTTCACAGCACGTAAGATCCCACTTCAAACCCCACGAAGTGACAGCTCTCTAGGAAGCCTCTCGGTACTAGCAAACAAAGGCTGAGGGAGCAGTTACGATGACATTACCAGGGACTCGTGAGCAGCACTTCTGATAAAAATATGAGTCACATTATCCTTTGGAAAAAGAAGCTATGAGGGTTAAGCTGGCTGTACTGGAATTGCTGAGCCTGGTTTGTCTGTAACAGCATTCTTGCAGAACATTTTTTAATTACTTCTAATTCCAAACTGTCCACAGTTGTATTTTTATTGCCTACAAAGATTAAGAGGTGTTGCCACTTATAACATCTAGGTTTTGATCTTAACCACATTAAAGAAATGGGCTGCTTATATAGTTAATAGTGAGTGGTAGGCTCCCAGTTTCAGTGCTCTGGATGGCTCTCTGAAACAGCTTAGCCCTCACCTTTGAGTATCTTGGGAGCTTAGGCACTTAACTTACTCATCCAAAATAAATGTCTGCAGTGGATGAAGTGAATACCCATTTCCCCCACTCATCAGACCTCCCACACATAGAGAGAAGACTAAGGAAAAGCGCACCGTGCGCTTTTAGTAGATTCTGATCTTCCAAGATTTACACTGCCCTGGTGAGGCCCCATCTGGAGTCCTGTGTCCAGTTCTGGGCTCCCCACTTCAAGAAAGA